TTTAAAATATCGCAATAAATATTGTACTGTGGACTCCATATCGGGATATTATCGTATTGTGAGATTTTGATATCGTTACATCCCTATACACTACCATTGTCCACATTTTCAATTAATAGCAAATTTAGATTTTTTGAATGCTATTGAACACTATTTGTTTTTATATTTTATATAATATATAGGAAAGAAAAAAAAACATATATAAATACATACATCCATAAATAGTATCATTATTAACTAATTTAATTAATTTATACATATATTTACATTTAACACACATGTACATATACATTCTTGTAGTTTTAATAATAATACAATTTTTCCTATAAATTATATAAAATATAAAAACAAATAGTGTTTAATAGCAGTACTTGAAATAATCGGTGCAGCAGGCACAATAATATTACGCAGTGCCTGAAAATAGGCTAACTTCCGTCAACATAACCAACTACACAAACTTGTAGTTACGTGCTGCGTAATATCATTGCGCCTGCTGCACCCATGGTACGGCAGCCTTTAAGTTCTCTTAAGTTCTGTTATTGCTACACACTTACACGAAAAGATATGTCAAAATGCCCGTCTTGGAGACTATTCAAATGCAGTCGATTTTGTCTTAAGTGAACTTGAACAGTTGGGAGAAATACGGACATATCAAAATATTTGTTCTATGCATCAGATCTTAAAGCAACAACATAAACCTGCAGCCGCCGACTGCGTCATAAATGTTAATCAAACAAAAGAAAAGGAGAAAATCACTCACTGCTCTTGACTGAATCACTTATTAACTTTAATAAGTATCATCTATATTTAATGTATACAGTGAAGTTTATTTTTACATTTATTACTTCATGAAATGTCTGTAGTAGGCTATTTCTGTAGAAGCCTTTACAACTGAAAATCTTTAAAAAACTAAAAATCTATTTAATTTGTATTTTTGAGTAATATATTTATTTATCATTTAGCTTGTAAGTAATACTTGGGAGTGTTTACTTGCCTACAGTAAGCTTGAGAATGTTTTATTACATTAGTTTATTATTTTTTGCTTTTGTATTAGTGGCAGTTTCTAGCTTCAAAGAAAATCGTTTTTCTAACATCTTTGCGGCAATAGTTTTTATGGGTCCAAAATCACCTTGGGTGTGCATTATTCTCTAATAATTCAACGGGCTGTCATCAATTATTCCTTGCATAATGTAATTTATTGTAATTAATGTAACTATAAATGCATTCAAAAATAAAACAGGTGTGAGTTGGCTGTGACTTACGGAAAGTATATGTAGGGCTTTTATACACAGTGTGTGCCTTAACTTATGTTACATGACTTTAAGTTTGCTAAGCAAAGCAGGACACTAATTATTAATCAAAAATCAAAATGGCAAGATGCAATAGAGGTTTGCTTTTGTTACATTTAAATGGACATTGCGTTTTTCTAGTTGTAAAGGTTAAAACAATGTTAAGATACTAAGAAATAATAGAGTTTCGTTGGACTCAGACTCGGACTCGACTCTGACTCGGCCCATTTTGGACTCGGACTTGTCTCAGACTCGATTGGTAAAAGACTCGGACTCGACTTGGACTCGACTTAGGTGGACTCGAACCCAACACTAGAGTTTTCATTGTTCATTGTTTTCCAATTCAAGTTTATACCAATTCCAAGTTTATTTTACGTATTGCTTTGGTCAATACATGAAAAACACTAATTATTATTGAAATACTTAGGATCAGTCAACTTGACTACTGAAAAACTTAAAAAAACTAAAAGACTATTTAATTTGTAATTTTGAGTAATATATGTATTTATCATTTAGCTTGTAAATAATACTTGGAGTGTTTACTTGCCTTCAGTAAGCTTGAGAATGTTTTAATACATTAGTTTATTATTTTTTGCTTTTGTATTAGTGTCAGTTTCTAGCTTAAAAGAAAAATCTTTTTTCTAACATCTTTGTGGCAATAGTTTTTATGGGTCCAAAATCACCTAGGGTGTGCATTATTTTCTAATAATTCAACGGCCTGTCATCAATTATTCCTTACATAATGTCATTTATTGTAATTAATGTAACTGTAAATGCATTACAAAATAAAACAGGTGTGAGTTGGCTGTGACTTATGGAAAGTATATGTAGGGCTTTTATACACAGTGTGTGCCATTGTACAGACTAGGTTTATTCCTCACAGCCTCATTTTCATCCAAGAAAAAATTCTAAATGCTTAGGGGTCCGTGTACTTTGGCGTCCATTCATTTTTAGTTTTTTTTAACCCAGAAATTAAAATGCAGTTTCTTCTTTAATGGTTCAAACACTGGTGAATAGAATAAGCAGACACAAACTAATTTTGATTATTCAAAATTCATATTTCATTAAAAATCTTAAAAATGATATATAGCTTGGTTTTATTGAGATAAAAGGTGCATTTTCTGCTCTTAAGGTCCCATTCCCAAAGATGCCTACTCTTTTACCCCTACTCTTGAAATTATACATTTACTTTAATGATTAACAAAGTCAAGTCCCGCCCTTTAATTTTTCACATTCTAAAACCTGTTTCACTCTGAAATATGTCACAATACATAAATCAATTCAGCCATAACTTCTGTTACATGACTTTAAGTTTACTAAGCAAAGCAGGACACTAATTATTAATCAAAAATCAAAATGCAAGATGCAATAGAGGTTTGCTTTTGTTACATTTAAATGGATATTGCGTTTTTCTAGTTGTAAAGGTTAAAACAATGTTAAGATACTAATAAATAATAGAGTTTTGTTGGACTCTGACTTGTCTCGGACTCAATTGGTTAAAGACTCGGACTCGACTTGGACTCGACTTAGGTGGACTCGGACCCAACACTAGTATTTGCTTATCATTTAAAAAGCATACAAATTAAAACGTCCTGCTCAACTAGTATATTAGACCTCACTTTATAAAATCCAGTGTCACAATATCACACAAGACTGCAACATTCTATACTGTATAGCATTACATGGACTGAAAATCAGAGCTTGAAGTGGAAACTCATTTATTGCCAGTCATTTAGATAGCATCTTGATTGTGTTTAATGAATTTGTGATATGAAACGTTGGCCATGCTGTTTATGCTCGCCTCTCATTTTTCCTAAAGGGAGGGTGAAGGAGATTTTCGTTGCCTCAAGCCTCATCTGTCCTTTTTCCAAAGCCGCCACCACCCTCCACCCCATTACAGAAATTCATTTTCATCATGCTGCGACAACTACAAGCGCTACAATCTAACGTAAATGGGTCATTCCTCAACTATGCAGCACATTTTTCATGTCCTCCTCATATTGGATGCAATATTAAACTTGCAATTTAAAAAAATGGAAATAGTATTCAATTAATTTTTTTCTTTTATGACAATAATATCATAATTAAGTGAACATAGGGGTTTATATAAGATCATTTACATAATTTCACTACTTGGAGTAGATGTTTCACAATGAAAAGCTAGAGAAAATATTTCAGGTTTTTCTTCTCCAAGCAATATATTATTGTTATACTTCTTATATTTTTTAATTGGGAATTCATTTACAGGTTTTATATATATATACAATTTCAGCTAGTTGCCAACGTTTCTCATTTCAATGTAGTTTAACTTTATGTACTAAAATAAACTAAAACTAAATATACCTAAACAGAAATATTTTTTAATTTATGTTTTTCCTCACAATGGAAAATTGACGTATTCAAAAGCTTAAATAACAAGACATTTATAACAATGAAGAAGCAGCAGCAGAAGAAGAAAAATTCTATAACCTTTATAAGAAAAGCAGTGAATATAAGTAAACATCCCATGTAGAAATGCCATATATTGCCCTATATCAAGAGTGATATTGCTATATACGTTACCTATAAGACGATATATCATTTTCACACACATACATTCGCTTGGTCTCATATTTACAGTATGTGTGTGTGTGTGTGTATATTTATATATACTATCATATGTATATATACGATAATTTATATATAATATCAACATCTATATAGGGTTGGTATAGTTAACTAAACTGGAAATTAAAATTAAAACCATAAAAACTTTACTTAAAACGAAATAAAAGTGAATTGAAATAAAATATAAAATATAAAAAGTTCTTATTTTAATTTATTTCAACTTGATGTACGTGTGTGTGTGTGTGTGTATATTTATATATACTATCATATGTATATATACGATAATTTATATATAACATCAACATCTATATAGGGTTGGTATAGTTAACTAAACTGGAAATTAAAATTAAAACCATAAAAACTTTACTTAAAACGAAATAAAAGTGAATTGAAATAAAATATAAAATATAAAAAGTTCTTATTTTAATTTATTTCAACTTGATGTACTAAAATAACTAAAACTTAAACTGAAATAAAAATTTAAATATTAAAAAATATTAAAAATGACAAAAAAAAATCTAAAACAAAAGCACACAAAAAATTCTAAAACTAAACCTCTAAACTCAGAAAATATAATACTAATAACTGACTTAAAATACAGTATTAATAAAAACTATAATAGTATCTAAATTATACTACAATAACACTGAAACATACATATATGTATAGCATAGATATACTGTATATGTTAGTATTTTAAATTGTTCCAGTTTCTGAATAGGTTTCATTTATGATGGAAATGTAATATATGTGCATATAGTACTTTTGTTTATGGAATAAAGTAAATTATTAACAAACTACACAGCAGACTGTCCACATACAAGCCAAAATCCTTGTGATTCACCCTGCAAGTCACCCAAAGACTGTCAGAAACAGTAAGTGAGTGGTAAATGACGATCCAAGCAGCTTTTGTTTCTCATCAGCATCGTGTCAACTGCACGAGACTCTCCAGCCGGCCGTCAGACCGCTGATACATGCTATTTACAAAAGCTGCTTATTTAGACTGCTAGTAAGCTAGTAAAAATGAATGCAAATCCTATCTTTTATATACTTCAAACTGCAGTTTTACTAAGAATCTTCATGAAAGAAACCTGAAGGACTTACGTGTGTCGTGATGTTTCACCTGTAGTTGAACTGGAAATGCTTGGCTCTCATTCTGAAGGTGAAAGTGTAAAAAAAAAAAAAAAAAAACTTGATTAGTTCAATATAATTTTTCACACTCATCTATGTGCATCCATGTGCAGATGTTCTGTAAAGCAGTGGTTTTGATTGTAAGTGCCAACTAGAAATGTGCTAGAATTGTCTATAGGACAATGCAAACAAATACACCCATAAAATCAAACACTGAAATGTATTAATATGTATAAATAAATTTATAATGCCAATACTTCAAAAGATTAGGGTCAGTAAGATTAAAATGTTTTTTTTTTTTGCACACAGAGGCTGCATTTATTTAATCAAAAATACAGTCAATTATAAAATTGTGAAAATTGTGAAATATTATTACAATTTTTAATTAATTAATTAATAATAAATTATATATATACACACACACACACACACACACACACACACACACACACAGATAGAACGATAGATAGAATGATCGAATACTAGATAGATAGATAGATAGATAGATAGATAGATAGATAGACAGACAGACAGACAGACAGATAGACAGATAGATAGATAGATAGATAGATAGATAGATAGATAGATAGATAAACAATTTTCACTCAGAAATTG